GAAGATGAAGATGAAGATGAAGATGAAGATGAAGATGAAGATGAAGAGGAAGATGAAGATGAACATGAACATGAACATGAACATGAAAATGAACATGAACATGAACATGAACATGAAAATGAACATGAACATGGACATGAACATGAACATGAACATGAACATGAATATGAAGGTGTAGATAAACATAAACATAAACATAAACATTAAAAGCGATAGAGACAAAGATAGAGAGGAAGAAAGTGATAGGGATAAAAAGGAAATACAACTGAAGAATGTGCGATGTTATATTGTGATGTGTTATGCTACATATGCTATGTTATTGAATCTAATGCTATTCTATGTTATGTTATGCTAAGTACTAAGCTAAACTCCCCTCCACTTAACCCATTCCAACAAATTTTATTTCAGCTCAACTCAACTCACATAAACTATCCTTAATTTTAGCGGTTGAATTTCAACCGCTGGGCGAACACTAGTTAATTTAAATTAATCATAAATAAAAACAATAAAGTTCTGTTCCACAGCTTGAAAACTTAACCTAAATCTTAAATACCAAATTTATTTACATAAGTAAAAAACAACGCGCTGTTTTACAGCTTGGAAAACTAAACCTATAGTATATGACCATTGAATTACAAACGGTACACAGATGTTTACATATTTACGTTTAACTGATTTTTTGAACTTTCATATTTTTTTTAATAAAAATATAGTAAATTCAGTAATATAGACCACATATATCGTAGCTTCAAACTTTGTGGAGAATTCGAGAAAAATCGGCTAATTACTAAAAACTCATCAAACTTTAAAACTTATCAGAATTTTTAAAAAATGTTTTTACTACGCATTTATAAAGCCTTATATTTTAGTACCATAAAGTGCAAGTTTGAAGTCGGTGAAAATTCGCGGTTAATTTTTTGAAATTTTTTTTGGTTGAAGGTGTTCTGCATTTTCTTCCACGTAAAGTATGTCGGCATTTTTTTATGTTGAAGAAAATGCATTACAACTTAAACCAAAGATATTTTCGAAAAATCAAACGCGGATTTCGACCGACTTCAAACTTGCATTTTATGGAACTGAAATTGAAGGCTATATATCTGCGTATGTAAACACTTTCTAAAAATTCTGATAAAAGCTTTTAAATTTTGATCACAGCTTTTCGTAATTTGTTGATTTTTCGCGACTTTCGCACAAAGTTTAAAGCAACGATAGATGTGGTATATGTTATTGAATTTACTATATTTTTATAAAAGAAATATTAAAGTTCAAAAAATCAGTTAAACGTCAAAATATAAACGTCTGAGTACCGTTCATAATTCATTGGCAACATACCGTAAAGCTCAAATATCTACATTTCTACGATCACTCCGAGACCAATCACCTTTGTAGAAGTAAATCCAATTTATTTAAGATATTGGACAATACGTCGGTCTTTCTCTCTTCTATAGAGTTTCTTTTCTCCAGCGCTGCAATTTTTCTTTCCGCCAAGACGACTCTGCGTTCTTCTAATTGTATCATATTGGCGTTGCTCTCTTCTAAAGAGTAATTTTTGCGTTTGGGAGCCCGACGTTGTGGTGGAAGTGGATCCTGAGGAACCATATCCGGTGCCATTTGCGGTTCCTCATCGCCTCCTTCAAGAAACTGTAATAAAAAGTTAAATAAACAAGTAAGAAAGTCTAAGTCTAAATATATGTTTTTTCACCTTTCCGAAACCTACCGCTAGATGGTAAGCCGGGGTGTATCAATTTTGAGTAAATTAGCGTCCTTATATTTCGAAATATTGCAGTTTCAAGCATTTCTGAAATTTACCGTTATATGAAAAGCGGCCGTAATTTTAGTCCGATTTTAATAATTTGCAACGTTTTGCTTTTATGTGGCAAGCACAATAACCATACCGAGTTTGGTACAAATTGGTAGAACGGTTACAGAGATACATATATGTGATCATAAGTGGGCGGTGCCACGCCCATTTTCCAAAATTTTACCATTAACGTGAATAAATTAGCTCCAATATTTACTGATTTATCGAAGATTTTGTATTTCTCTAAATTACCGTTATATGGGATGTGGGCGTGGTTATCGTTCGATTTTAAAAATTTTCGGCCATTTAGTACACTGTATCAAGGCCAACAACTGTGCCAAGTTTGGAAGAAATTGGTGCAGCGGTTACCAAGATATACACATGTAACCATAAGTGGGCGTGGCTCCGCCCAATTTCCAAAAATTTATAATATTCTTATTTTTCGTCTAAAGGTTATTGTAAATATCAATTTTGAGTGAATTATCTTCAGTAGTTACTAAAATATCGCAGTTTTCGTATTTCTGGAAATTACCGTTATATGGGAAGTGGGCGTGGTTACAGTCCGATTTCGCCCATTTTCAATACCAACCTACCTTGGATTAAATTTCGTTGAGAAATCTCAATTTTTGCTCGAGTTATCGTGTACACGGACGGACGGACAGACGGACAGACGGACGGACAGACAGACATGGCTTAATCGATTTCTTTTTTCATCCTGATCATTTATGTATACATTTGTCTATATCTATCTCGATTCCTTTTGGCTGTTACAAACAACCGTTATGTGAACAAAATTAATATACCCTTGTGCACAAGTGCGCTCGGGTATAAAAACAGAGACAATCGTAAGGCGTATGTACATACCTCTATCTAAAAGTGGTCCACAGGGCCGTCAAATAATTCCACGCTAGTTACTGCGCCGGAACTTCTCTGTAATTAAAAATTATTATATAAATTATAGATATATACATATGTAAGTATGTTCAAACTACAAAAACATATTGATCGAATTCGAATCTATGGATAGAAATAATTTATAAATGGAAATGTTCTTAACTCACCAGTGGCTCGCTAACTTCTCTTTGACCGACCACTGCCACTGTGGACATCACGCCAATGATGCGCTCGTCGAGGTAACTGAGATGCTTTTCGGTAATTGATGAATTTACCCCGCTTCGCTCCATAGCATTTCTCAAATCTTGGGATTTTTGTTTAGCTTTGCTCCTATCATTAATCGAAAACAATTTTAAGAATCTTAGTGCTACTTATGTGCATTTTCAAAACATATTTACCTCATATTTACCCACGCTCTCTTCCGTCCTTCACCATCTTTTATGGATCCTCCGCAAGCATTTAATTTTTCGGCGAGGTGGTTCCACTGCTCAGCTAAACTTTTGCTCCCGGTGCCATTGACGAATCTTAAAAAAGAAAAAACTTAAACAAAATCATTTACGGGAAAATGTTTTGCATACCTGTCGTGAGCAAATTCTCTATGATCCTCCAAATATTGAACGAGCATATATTTTTGATCCTTCGTCACTCTTTTGCTATTGGGGTTTTCCATATTTTGCTATTAATTAAACAATTTCTTTAATATAAAAGAGTATTTTTAACAAAAAACAATATAAGCATTACCTTTTTGTCGCGTTATTTTTTTAGCACCAAAAGTCGTCTAGTCGCCAAATTCGCAGAATTTTAAGCCAACAATGGAGATTTGTAGCAATGGAAAAGACGCTGGAATCGCCATTTTAGCTGATGAGCTGTCCAAAACTGTTCACTCACTTTATCCGGGTTCATTTTGTTCATCGCTAAAACCCACCAAAAAAATGAACCAAAAATGAAACTTTTTAGAGATGATTTTTTAAGCGCGAATCGCAAAAATCTCCCAAAATTGCTAAAATCCATTTAGTATTTTTTGGCGATGGAGTTTTAGCGATAGCGAAAGCTGGAATCCGGCTGCAGCTACACCCAGCCATGTAAATTTGCTTTCAAATGTTGAATATGCATCAACACCACAGCACACGATTTGTACTATGTATGTATGTGTGTGTTGTCGCCGCTCTCAGAGCGGCGCTCTGCATGCTTGGGGTGCGTATGTACACTTACATATATGTACAAACTCAGATGTGAACAGTCAAATACGTGCGTAATAAATGTTGTATGAAAATATTATTTTTAAATACGAACATTTTTCAACGATAATCAAATATAAAGAATTCATTTTTACTATGCATTATTTCCCTCAGTGTAGGAAAACACTTGGATTCAACATGGCGTATGAGTGATGTTTATCTGGTGATTTTTTTTATTTGATGATTAGTAATATTTAATGATGAGGTCCACAATTGGTATGAATTATAATGTGATCTTAGATGTATTAAGCATATGCTCACTGGTTAAGGAACAAAAAAAAATATTGCAAATATTAATTTTTTATAAGGCAAAACTTAGTTACTAACTAATTAATAAATGTATTTAAAACTAATTTATTGAACTTATATAAACTGTGTTCTAATAAGCCGATTTTTGGGAACCTACTTACGAAATTTCAACGAAATCGGACAAGATTTGATGAAAATATACCTATTTTTTAATAAAGATGCATTTAAAATCTGCAGTTTCCGGAAAACAAACAACAGCGTTGAGCGACCTCTAAATCTTGTTCAAATAAGCTGAAATTTTAGAATGAACTTGTCTTCCCTATTATCTTCAAGAATCCGAACGTTCTCAGTCGAAATTCAAAAAAGTTCCAATTTTGAGTCACCCTAGTGTACATACGCACCCCAAGCATGCAGAGCGCCGCTCTGAGAGCGGTGACAACACACACATTCATACATAGTACATGTTTATCCGTACAAATCGCGTGCTGTGGTGTTGATGGATATTCAACATTTGAAAGAAAATTTATATGCCTGGGTGTAGCTGAGTGCTTAAAGATGCATGCCACAATTTGTTGATATCCAGAGATGGTCAGGGTTCGAATTCCACTGCAGGAAACATGCAAGTTAAATATTCTTTTTTTAGTTTTTGTCTTGATTATTCAATTCAATATGCGCGTAATTGATTTGAATATTTACCAATATACAGTACTTTCGTTGACATTTATAGTAAGATCAATTACGTTTCTATTGGATTTTAATATTTTTTTCCCTCAGTGTATACCTGTAACATCCATGTCTGTCCCTCGTATTTTTTCTGTCCTCCCCTACTGTTTCTTCTCTTTAATTATTTTCCTTCTGTTTAATTATTTGCCATATTGTGGTGTAGAACATAAGCTTTCTAGTGTTAGTACTAAAACATAGTAATTTAACCTATGGTTGTATGTTTGATTGATTTAAATAAAATAAAAAAATATTTTTAAAGGACATTTGACATGTTCCAAAAGCATAATTAAAAACAAAATTTTGAATATTTGAATTTTTCTTTTAATTGATACCCATATTAGGCTGGGTCGATTTTGTATGAGGGAAAATAAAAGGCATTTGACGGAATTGTAATAGTGATATTATGTTGTCTAAGGTCTAAGCCAATAGTTATTGGCCACGAAAGATAAATTTAAAACTTATCTTTAGCCCGCGCAATTGATTCAAAGTGTATGAATTTTGAAAATGAAACTTTGGCTCGTAATATCTATGGAATGTGTTGATTGTTATAAACTGGACGATATATCAAATTAAAGGTTATTAAATTTAGTACCTCATGTTTGACTTTATCTTTTGCGTTAACGGACGGATTCATTATCTTCTATATCTATATTTATTATATAAAGAGTAGTCCCTTTTTTTGTAACAGGTAATCTCGCGAACGGCAGGTCCGATGTTCATGAAATTTCATTTTTTCCGGAAGGTGGTCCAGGGACCGATCTATTCGAAAAAAATCTTATTATGGTCCGATTTGGTATGTAGGTAGCTTTTTACCTAGATTAGTATATAGGAACCTTTTTTCCGGGAAGTGGACCAGGGACCAATCTATTCGAAAAAATCGTACTTATGGTCTGATTTGCTTAAAATTCGGTACGTAGGTAGATTTTTGCCTGGATTAGCATACAGGATCCTATTTTTTCCAAGTAGTGGACCAGGGACCGATGTATTCCAAAAAATTGTATTTATAGTCCAATTTGCTTAAAATTTGGTACGTAGGTAGCTTTTTGTCTAGATTCGCATATAGGATCTTTTTTTCCGGGAAGTGGACCGATCTATTCGAAGAAATCGTATAAATACGCCAGATTTGCATGCAATTTCGAATATAAATAGCTTTGAGCAACCACCATATCAAGGGGCGAATTCGTCACTAGATAAGCTTTTTTTGCGACAATCAGAAACAACGGAAACAGCCAAAATATAATAATAACATATAATATATCTATACTAATATATATTTTGAAACCGGTTTTTTAGTGTTCGCAAAGCTCGATAATGGCTGAACCGATTTTTTTTTGAAACTTCAGACACCTGCCGCACGTGTCCTAGGATGGTTTTAGGCTAAAAATAATTATATATGTAAATGGGGCGTGCCAACTCCCATACAAACTGAATTTTTCATACTGCATATCTCTGAAGATGTTAACGGTAGAATACTGGAACTTAGTATGGCTATATATGAAATCCATACAAACCAAATTTTTCATACTGCATATCTCTGGAAGTTTTCATGGTAGAGTTCTGGAACTTCGTATGGAGATATGTATGTCAATGAAATCAAGCCCATACTCATGGAGAAAATTGGGGCTATTAGAAAAGGGGGCGTGAGGCCTACAAACGTACCGACTTTTAGCTATCTTTGAATGTATTTATAATTATTCTGTAGGTGTGTTTGTGAGTGAAGTCCTCCTAAATGGTTGTACGGATATTAACGAAATTTTTTGTGTGTGTTTGAGTTGGTCTCTGGATGGTTAAGTTTCACAATTTAATCCGCGAGTTGGCGCTGTAGTTGAGTTATTACTAAAAATCTTATTTATGATCCGATTTGGCTAATATTTTAAATACGTGTTGGTAATGTTAAGAGCAATACAAAAACGTGCCGCCAAGTGGCGCTGGAGTCGAGTTATTACTAAAAATAGCCAAGGGATAAAAGGTGCCGTGAAGGTCAGATTATATCGACCTGTTGCACCATTGAGTATATCGAACTCTCCTATGTTACCATATTTCGTCTGACATAAGTATATGTATATTGCATTTCTGTAGAACAATGATTCGCACCCATTTTGAAATTGCCACCAACTATACTGTAAAGCTTCTAGGACATTCACTATAGAACCAGGTCATTGTTTCCGCCAGGAAGTGAAGAGGAAAAAATTTTTCTAATTTATTTCGAATAACCGTGCTATGAAATGCTGCACAGTTGGAGAATTACAAGAACTTCTTCACGGATATAACACTTTCTTTAGGTTTTTTAAAGCGGCAAATGACCACCAAACCATAATCTTAGCAGATGAATGTGCTAATGAAAATCGTAAACGTGAATTGTTGGTGAAAATGTGGGATTAAAAAGTTTCAATAAAAAATAAAAATTTTGGCAGGACGAAGTTCGCCGGGTCTTTTTAACAAGAATTGGTCTTATTCGACTAGTGTGCTGTGTGTCACTTGGAGGTCGATGCGCGGGCTCTTACAATCAAAATAAAATACGAATATTTTGTAGGCTTGTTGTTGACCTCATGATACTCTGAAAATAAAATTTCGTAAAAGTGCTACGAAAAACTTTCGTAGTCTTGGTTTTTGTACAACGTACGAAACTTTCGTTCATAGTACGAACACATTTTTTACAACGAAACAAGATTTTACGAACCATACGTAAATATAACGAAAGGACTTTCGTAAGGCATTTTTTCAGTACGTTTATTTTACGAAACACATTCGTAAAGCACTCAACAAATCTCTGTACGAATAATTTTGTATATTGTTGGAAGGCATTCGTAATATTTACGTATGGTGTTAAAATATACGAAATCTACATCTCAGTATTCGTACAATTTAGTTAATACTTTCGTATAAAGTACTAATGCAGAAACATGTTTTAAAATTCGTACAACATACGAATATTTTCGTACAATATACTCAATTACCGGAAGTTTAATATTTCATCATATTTTTATGTATCGCGTGTCAGTGCGGAATTACTTGTTGGCTGCTGTGAGACGTATAATATAATTTTAAACGTTTTAAAAAGGGATTTGCTGGATAAAAAAAAACAATACAAAATTAAATATTAAAGCTATGGATATACTATGCTTTTAAGCATACAATGTTTTTAACATCGCCTACGCTGCGCCTTGCGCTGCAATGTGGGACTTGATAAATAGGCAATTTCATCAGTTACCTATCAAGGGCAAGCCTAAGCCAGGAGCACTACTTAATGAAATCAAAAGTAAGTACATGTATGACTTTTCACTGAAACTTGCTTTTCAGACGACTTATAATTTTCCTTTAATTAAAAGTCGTCAAGGAAACAAACATCGATGAAGCTGCGAATCATGTTAAGTGCCTCTACATAAAAATATTATAATGTTTAAGAAAGTAAAACCAGTATTTTTTATATTCTTTCATATTTTATATCTTATTAT